GTTGATGTCTTCATGTCATTCATGGTTGAGCCTGCTCTAAATTGTACATGCTAAGCAGTTGTGAGCTTGTTTAGCCATAGATGCATTTGTTGAGAAGAAATAGCCCCTTAAAGCTGCTTTTTAGTATCATTACCCAAAATATTGTTTATTCAACAACCATGGACATATAGAGCAGAGCAATATAATGTTTCCCAAGCTTCTGATTTTTCTTCAAGCAGCTGACTCAGCATGCACTGTGATGCATTGATCAATATGACACTAGGGTCTCTCATTATGATTAGGTTAAATGTACAGTTCTCAGTAAAGGAAGCACACAAAAGAGGTTCAGTTATGTGTCAGCAGCAGTGGATTTATAGGGCTTATAAATGGAGGGAATAAAATTACCATATATTCTTACTCTTCCTTAGTGCTCCTAACTTCCCATTCCACTTTTCTTTGCAGGTTTTCAAAGGCTTGGCATATCTTCATCGCAAAGAGATTGTCCACAGAGATGTGAAAGTGTCAAACTTGCTTCTCACAAACCAGGGAACAATAAAAATAGGTATGTCTTCAAGCCTCCAAGTATGACTTTGGCTTATTCTTATATGTAAAAGCAAGGAAGTTCAGGTAGTTTGGGGTTGCTGGGTCATATAACATAGGCAATATGGTAAGAAAAATTATCCCATGCATAGAGTTAACAAGAAAACAAAAAACAAATGACTCAAGCTTACTGTTCTCATATAACTTGTGCTAAGGGAAAAGAGGAAAGTGTGTTAAAACTTATGTGCTTATGTGAAAGATTCATAGGATTTCCTTGTTTTAGAAATGATTTTCTGTGATCTCCCTTATCAGCACTTATTAACCCCTTGGTGCCGGGTGACGCCGATCGGCGTGTACACAAAGAGGTCGAAAGCTGGCGTGCAGCCGAACGAGCCGGCAGCGCGCCAAAGCGCGGCGAGCCAGTGATTTGGGCTGATGTCCCCTACTCACGCGCTCAAAGTCGGCGCGCCACCTTTGTTTGTTTAAGCGTAGAGTTTTTTTTTTCTTTTGTACACCCGGCGCCATTGGGTTAATTTCATTATTCTATTTTTTCTGCCTCATAGAAAGTGATTCTATCATAACTTTTATTGTTCTTTGGATTATGCCACACGTGTAATATATAAATACTTTATTCTTTTATCAGTGACATCTCAATACTATCTACTTACTTGTAAGTATAGATGCATTTGTAATATAAATTTTTTTCCCTACAGCTGATTTTGGGTTGGCACGTGAATTGGGTTATCCGATGTCACCAATGACCCCTCAGGTTGTCACTCTGTGGTACCGTGCTCCTGAGTTGCTCTTCCAGGTGACTAGCATTCTTGGTATTGGTTTGGGTCTGGGGTGAAGAGAGATTGCATCAGCAACTAGTCAATTCTTTCTCTATTTTATTCTTCTTCATCTCTTTCTTTCTTCTTTTCTTTTTCTTTATCTTTTCTTTCTTCTTTTTCTTCTTCCTCTACTTCTTCTTCTTCTTCTTCTTTTTCTGCTTTTTCTTTTTTCTTATTATTTTTCATCTTTATTTTTTATATTTTCTTTTTTCTTTTCTTTTTTTTCTTTTTTTCTTTTCATTTCTTTTTTTTTTTTCTTCTTCTTCTTCTTTCCTTTTTCTTTTTCTTCTTCTTCTTCTTATTATTATTAGTAGTAGTAGTAGTACTAGTATTTTTTTTTTTCTGTCTTTCTTTTTTCTTATTTTTTCTTCTTTCCTTCTTTTCTTATTACTTCTCCCTCTTTGATGCAACTTGGTGTACAGCAGAAAGGTGTGCATAAAGAAATTAGATTTTGTAAATTATCTTTAGAAATGCATGCAGTTTCATTTTGAGAAGCATTTTTGAGTAAATTATAAATTTGGAAAGTAAACAAATATATATATATATATATATATATATATATATATATATATATATATATATATATTCATTCAGATTTGAAATAATAACCTTTGAATCACTCTAGCTATGATATGCATAACTTAAAACATTTTTTTCTCCATGGTTGTATTTTTTTCTTTTATTCACACATGCACCTCCCCCCCCCCCCCCACACACACACACATATGTATTCTGCATCTGCATTTCATCATTTGTTCTATCCAGGCAAAGACACAGACAACAGGAGTCGACATGTGGGCAGCTGGGTGCATCCTCGGGGAACTTCTGCTACATAAGCCACTGCTCCCAGGGAAGTCGGAAATAGAGCAAATCAATCTGATCATAAACCTTTTAGGTCTGTATATTTTTTTAACTGTAAAGTCATATATGCACACACATGTAAATAGCCTTCCAATATATACATGTGGACCTTTCCCAATCCTGTGGTTTTCCTACCTCAACCCCTTCCTCAAAGGACACATGCACACCTAAAACCACATACCCCTCCCTCCCTCTAAAAGTATATAGGTCATAAGACACTATGTTTAACTGAAATTCAAATAATAGATAATACATACATTTCCTATTTCTTATGTGTGTATGACATA